CGAAAGGGTTAAGAACTGAAACATCTTCAGGAAATTGATATATATATATATGATACATATATATATGGTAAAAAATGTTGTTGTTTTGTGTGTGAAATACTGTTCCATTCTTCAGTTTATACTTGTAATTCTTGCAATTGTCTTGTTTTTAACTGAGATTTCAAATGATATAGAAATATTTATTCTTCCTTAGTGATATCTACAAGTCCATCAATCTTGTAGAGAACTTCCAGCAGATTCTGGATAATATTTTCATGCCTTTGTTTGAGGCTACTAACGATCCTCAGAGTCATCCTGATCTTCATGTCTTCCTGCAGTATGTAAGTACTTATCTTTATATTGAACAGCAACATGTCATAAACCATGTAGTAACTAATACTCTCTGTGGTTTGTGTACAAGGTTTTAACATAATCATGGTATATTGGACTTGTATTTCTTTCGGAGCAAACAACTATTTCGTATTACAACTATTTTATGTAGGCTATTGTTTTTGTGGTTGCTAACATTTAGACATTGCGAGTCATTAGCTTTCAGTGTTGCTCTATCCAATTCATAAGGTCACTGAACCTGAATTTTTTCATTTAAATACTCTAAATTTATCTCAGCTCATCATTTGTCAGACCTTGTCTATTTAGTACAATCAAAAGTGATTAGCGACATTTCTAGTCAAGGAGTATTTTCTGTTTACTAGTTTTGTTTATTTATAATTTTTCTGTTAAACTTTGAAACAGGCAGATAGTATTAATTAATCTTTTAAAAACAAAAGAGTCAGATGTTTTGTAATATTATTTAAAAGATAACACACTGTACATATGTCAGTTAGATATAAAAGATAAAGAATGCATATAACTGTTTACTGCTGCATTTTAAGGAAGTTTTAAGCAGTTTAATTATGTGTTAATGCACCAAATGTTAACCTGAATTATTTTAGGTGTGTGAATAATATTATGGCATTGTGCCTAATTTATTATTTTATATTGTAGAGTGGACTAGCTGTTTAATTATTACAGACTTCTTATTCACCAAAGGTAAAATGGAAAATATCATCCGAGATGTAAATGCCTGATGCGTTCGGCCTCTACATCCAAGAAATCTGTAACATAGTTTTCTATGGACTGCTCTTGCCCTCTTGTGTGGTTTGATGATGTTTTGGGCTTGGTGCTGAGTTGTTCAATAGGTTTGAAAATGTTATAAGAAAGGATCTTGAGAGAAAGTGCTAACAAATGGTGATTCCTGATTAGTTAGAGAGGATGGTGGTTTAATCTTATTTCTTTTCAAGATGAGTCTTTTATAATGACAGCGTGGAGTTGGTCTAGCTCCAGTTCTGTAGAATCCAGGTTGGTCCTAAGTGTGGTTTTGTAATCCAGTTTTCCAGTTCTTGATCCTTGTTAATGTTTGGGTTATTTTACTTTATTCTTTGAGAGTTTCCAATTTTCTTTGTTGTCCAGTATAATGATATTTTTCCTATTTTACTTGGCATCCTGTATTGTGAGTGTGCTCAGCTATGACAGATTCCTCTGAGTGGAGAAGTCGTACTGCATCTACATATTCTTGTAGTCTTTGATTGTTCTCCCAGTTTCTCTAATGTCCATATTGCCACAGCTGTGGGATATGCTGTAGGCTTCTACATGCTTACATTTTACAGGGTTGTTTAATTAAGGTGAGAAGATCCTTCCTTGTCTCGCTGGATTTAAAGATTCCCCCGATATTGAATTTCTTGCAAATATTTCTAAGATTTTAGTTGATATCCTCTATGCATATGTGGTAGTGGTTGATTTGTTAGTTATGGGTTTTTAAACATGAGTTACTGATTTATAAGATTTTTAAGGTATCCATTGGGCTCAAAAATTTGACATGAAAGCGGAGATTCTTGTTGTATCGATTTGCTCTGCTTTATTCTGAAAGTTCCTGATGATCAAATCTTCATTTGCCTGACTGTGGATTGTTAGATTTGTAATGAAAATACAGAAGGGTGTGGGTGGGATTTTGGTGATGTGCATCAAAAGAAGGTAGTTGGTTGTGTTCTTCTAACTGTGAAGTGAACGAAATATTGATATTTTGGGAGTAGAAGTACCATGGTAAGTTCTTGATCATGTCATGGAAAAACTGAAAGATCAGGCAGACACAGCATGGCTTCTACACCCATAGTGTAAGTTTTTAATGTGTCATGATAATGTAATTGCTTTAAGTTAGTAGGATAAAGATAAACTTTGCAAGAAAATAGTAAATATTTGTGGTCAGAGTTAGAACATTTTTTTTGTTTTATAAGACATTTTGTCACACACACACACAAAAAAAGCATGCTCATATTAAATCAAGTCGCTGGATAACTTGATGGTATAGGAATACAATTTTGTGATACTATTAATTTAATATTAATAAAATACTTTGAGAGATCTAGAATGTTCTCTCGATGAGTCTTTAATTTCATTATCAGTTATACATGTGTAAGATTTGTTTTAGTAATAAAGACATTCACCAATCATATAGATAAAACAGTTAAGTTTATGCAATGTTGGATTTTTGTGAATTTGAATGCTTTTTGATTTTCATGTGTTTCATCATTACTTTTTATTATCACTGTAAGTGCTGAAATAACAGTATTCACACAGGAAGGTTTTTGTCATTGAATATTTAAAGTAGTTTAAAATGTAAAACAATAAAGAAACTTGCTTTTTAAAATGTGTAATACTAACTGAAGTTTGTTTTAAGATAAATAAAACTACCTTCTTCAAGCATTGTTAGGTGGATCATTCAGGTCATGTTAACTTATAAAAAAAAAAAAAAGTGTAATTTATTTGACAGGTAATTGGCTTTGATTCGGTGGATGATGAGTCCAAACCTGAAAATCCAATGTTTGATCAAGATGTTACCTTGCCATCAGACTGGAGTGATAGTGAAAATCCACCTTATAATTATTATTTGTACTACATGTATGCAAATATGACGGTTCTTAACCACTTCAGAAAGTACGTATATTGTGCATCATACATAATGCAAAAAACGAAACTTTATTTTGATTTATTAACAAGTGAATTGATCTCACCAGTTAATTGTTTAAGTTGTCCACAAATTTTTATCTTACTACGTAAAGAACTATTTAAATAAATTATTTTTGATGCCTTTAAGCTCATATAAAGTGCTTGCAGCATAGTAATAATAATAGTATATTAATTCACAAAATTATGTACTCATAATCAGATATTCTTGTTTATAAACAAATTAAAACATTTATGTACTTTTCTAAGAAAGCATATTTATTTTTTGTGATTTCTCCTTTTTATTTCCTTATTATTATTTGATCTAGAGAACGTGGGTTTAATACCTTTTATCTTCGTCCTCATTGTGGGGAGGCAGGACCAGTACAACATTTGATAGGTGGATTTCTTCTAAGTGAGAATATATCTCATGGTTTGCTTCTTCGAAAGGTGAGGCAGTGGTATTTTTAAGCATTCGTTGCCATCTACTGTACATTAAAGCCAATTTAGTATGTTATAGGTACTTCTGACAAATAAATATAATTACAAAGGTTTGTTCATAATCTGTGGTAAAAATCTGTATATTCAGTCATCTTGCCTCCTGGCCATGATTACTGAACTTCAAAGTTGCTTGATCTTGAATGCTATTCATTACTTAAACAATAAATATTAGACAATGTACTTGAATATCTGATCTTAGCAATATGTAAACAGTTTTGACATGAATGTTGCTGTAAGTGTTGAAAACCAAGACAGTAGTTGTTGGGTGCTATTATATGGAGCTTTTGTCTCAATTATGTTTTTTTTTCCCACATTAATATTCAGATACTAATTTGTAATCTTTTAGTTAACATGGATTGTATTTGAAATATTAACTACACATAGTATTCAAAAAAGTGTTTGAAAAATGTAAACAAAAGTAATTACTTTGTATTGCTGACAGCTTGTATACCTAAATTGTGCAATAAATTGAGTAGGAATATAACGATCATGTGGGAATTGGGTAGCTACATTTGGAAAACATGCTTTCTATAGGCCACCATTTTCTTCCCTAAAGATTGAATAAAATTGTGTTTTAATTTGTTTACATTAGTATATTATTATCACCAGTAAATTTAGAAGAGGTGTTTACATGATTGTTACAAATATCTTTTTTTTGTATTAAGTTTTATATTTTCACAAAATAAAGTACTAACATATAAGTGTACCGTATTGTTACAGTTTAACTGATTGTTTTTATGCATTTAATTTATACACATTATTGCTTAGTATTGGTCAGATTTTGTATGGAGAATTATAATCTCACATAAATGCATTACAAAGTAGTAGATATATGATCCCAGCATTTTAAAATATTTATCTGAGAAGCAATTAAACTAAAGAAAGTTAGATTTGTCTTAAGTTCAAGTAGTCGTGTATTATGGTTAATAGTATTGGTCAATATTTTTTGTCTTTGTCTGTACTTTAAGGAAGTCCTTATTGAAGGTGTTATTTTCTGTTTGTCTTGTTTAACATTTACTGAAAGGGTAAACACTTGTATTTAACCAAAATCTTCTTGCACTTTTGAAAAGAGGTATTTGTTATCTGTTTATTGTTCGTCCATTAGTAAAATAGTGTTTGGATATCCCACTAACACATTACCCTAAAACATATACAGCCATAATTTAAAAATCCATGTTGGGTTTTATGTACAGTCTGCCTTCAAATATATTGTGACTAATTCTTGAATTATGATCTCTGTTTGTTATTTCAGGTTCCTGTGCTACAGTACTTGTATTACTTAGCTCAGATTGGAATTGCCATGTCTCCTCTTAGCAACAATTCCCTTTTCCTGAATTATCATCGTAACCCTCTTCCCGAGTACCTCAGTCGTGGCCTTCGTGTTTCTCTGTCTACAGATGATCCTCTGCAGTTTCACTTCACCAAGGTGAAATACAGATAAAGTTTGTGCTAAACATTGCTTCTTATTTTATCTAGAGTTGTTTGTGGGTCATTTGCTAAGCATGATTTCATAGCAAGCTTTTAATACAGGTTGAATTATAAAAATAGCACTTAAAAGAAGTACAGTAAATATAATATTGCATTCTGTTTTGTTTTTACAGTTGGTACATAATATTTAATAATGTGTAGTGTTTTAGTATGTACACTGCCTGGCCACTTTAGTAATATAGTTCTACATAAGCCTGTCAAACATTCTATGTGTTATGAGATTGATTAATTATTATAAGTGTGTGTATTTAGTCCTATCATGGCTAGTCTACAAGAGAAGGGGTATATCAAAGATATGTTCAATATTTTTCAAAGGAGCATGGGAGTTGGTACCTTGTAATAGAAATATTATTAAGGAAGTTTCTTTGATCATCTGTTCAAAAACGTTTATCAACAGAGATAGTTGAAAGGAAATATGATTGTTTCTAAGAAAAACTATAGTTGTGTATTGCTGCTAACAGATCAAGGTGAAAAAAGGACTTCGTGGGCTTGCGAAGTACCACAGATGTCAGACTGTTCCAATTAACTGATATTTCCAATATTTTGGAGGTTTGTCTGTCTTGACTTTACAAACAAACCTGTAGAATGTTGAAAATATCACTCAACTGGGACAGTCTCATATTAGTGGCACTTTGTCATATGGCAGCTGACAATGAATCCAAAGATCGCTTGTCCGTCTTGAAATACTCTTAACGAAAAAGCATGACTTTGATTGTGTCTTTCCTTTACTGTAGAAGAAAATCACAGGTGGTGTAATGAAAGACAGATTTTACTTTTATCGTGTCAGTTTTATTTATAATATCATATTCAAAATCTTTAGTTATTAAACTTATAATGAACATGAAACACTATGCAAATATTTATTCATGCAAAATGTATCTTGTATATAGGAACCTCTGATGGAAGAGTATAGCATTGCAGCACAAGTATGGAAGCTGAGCAGCTGTGATATGTGTGAGCTAGCACATAATAGCATTCTTATGAGTGGATTTCCCCATAAGGTGAACTTTTATTCATTTGTTGAAACTAGTTTGGCCACCTCTTATAGAAATTGTTAATCAGAAGAAAATATAGGAAGTTTTAACACTATTTTGTGTTAATTTGTTTCTATATATATAGTAAACATTTGCTAGGGATCATGAATTAATTTGGAGTATATATCAAACACAATGGTATATAGATTGAACATTTTAGGAAGAAAAACACCTGGATAAGTCATTTTTACACTTTATTAAGTTCTGTAACATTTAACTTGGATATCAGAACCTGAGGAACTGATGCACCTTGTGGTACAATGCTAACACAACAAAGTTCAAAATCAACAGTCATTGAAAGAAGTGTCCAATTCACAGTCAAGATGATTTCATTAGTCTGTGTGACCTCCTTGAGCATTAATGACTGCTGCACATGCTCTTGATCATATTAGCCAATCGTTGTTGCAGAATCTGTTGCCATTCTTCAATAAGGGCAGCTTCCAGGACCTTCCGTGTTCTCGGTGGGGCTTGATGAGCTTGTAACCTTGTCTCTAGCTGCTCTCCGATGTGCTCTATTTGGTTGAAGTCAGGAGACCTAGCTGGCCACTCCATCCTGGGAATTCCTTCAGCTTCCAGGAAGGCAGTCACTGCCCTTGCATGGTGTGGATGCGCATTGTCATTCGTAAGCAGGAAGTCTGGCCATGTTGCACCTGCATGTGGACGAACAATGGGTGCAAGGATCTTATCTCTGTATCTTAGACTGGTGAGACTTTGGACCATTTTGGATGATTTGAAGATTAGTATGACCTGCAATTGAGATGCCTCCTCCAAAGGAATCATGTTTGACAACATTTTGAGGCAAATTTCACTCACCAGCACATCACCAAATTCTCCTGCATCTGTCAAGAAAGTCCACATAGTCGCAGGACTCGTCAGTGAAAAGTTTTGCCCTCCAGTGTTGCGCAGTCCACCTCCTTTGTTCTCTAGCCCACTGCAGTCATGCCTGCCTGTCGGCTTAAAGGAACATGAACAGCAGGACGTCTAGCCCTCAACTGAGCTTTGTGAAGGCATCAGTACACTGTCTGTGTAGACCTTCGGACTCCTGTGGCATCTTTGAGGGAGTTACGGAGGTTAACAACTGGAGCAAAGCGATTCTTTCGAGCCTGGATAGTCAAGGAGCGGTCTTGTTGTGGAGTTGTTAGTCTTCTCCTTTCTCCACCATGTCTCCTATTGACTCTGCCGAACTGTCTGAACCTGTCCCAGGCCCTGGACACCACATTTTGGTATGTGCCAAGAGCAGACTCAAACCTGCATTGAGTCATGCCTCCCTGCAGCATCCCAACAGCTCTGTTAAGTTCTGCAGGGGAAAGATGATGCCTTTGACTTAAATGAGGCATTTTCTGCACTGCATAATCTGAATCAAAACAATTTTAGCATGCAATGATCAGTAATCTAAAATTAAGGACCTCACAATTTCACTGTATGAACTTTCAGTTTGGGGGTATAGTCGGAAAATAAAGCCAGGATCCAATCAAAGTCACCCAGGCGGAAAGTTTGCACTTGGCAGACAATGTCCAGATAATGGACTTCCAAGCTACGTCTCTTTTTAGAACTGACCTTTCTTAACATTAGTTTACCTATTATGTAAAAACATGATTCATAGCAAATGTTGACTACTGTATATAATTTTTTCCCATTTCTTCTTGGTTATTTTTATTGTCCACTTGTATAGTTACTTAGGCTGATAAGGCTTAGTGTGAACACACAGCTTAACAATTGGCGGCCTTATTGACAAAACAAAACTTTATATGATTGATTGCAAAATGATCCAACTAAGCCTACCTCATCTTGTTTCATGAAATCATAATTCAAATAAAACATGAAATGGCACAATAGATTAAAAAATAATATATCCAAGACTATACTGTGGTGAGAGTTATTCACAAATGTCTTTTCTTCTAGTAATATATCACCAAGCTAAGTTTTATCACTTTGTTATGGTTTTTCATTAGTCTTGGCTTATACAGTTGAAAAGAACAGAAAAAAAAAAAGAGGTTTCGTGAGAGTTAAGGTCACAAAGCTACGGCTTTTCAATTCTGAGATATTGAGAGCCATGACAGCCGAGGTTGAGAAACAGTGATTGGTTAAGGTTACAAGGATCAAAACTGTTTCGGCTTTCCTTTGGAGGTGGGGTTCTATGGATCTATACAATGCTCATAAAAAAATTTAGGAGGTACATGTTTTTATTCTTATATGCTGAAAATAGCCAAAATCAAAAATTGTGATCCCTTGAACATTTTCATGCATAGAATTAAATAATTTTCCATTAAATAGATTTCAACTCTGAAGTTGTTGTTTTGTAATGTGTGGGACAATGATTACAAGTTGATTTTCTGTTATTTCTTTTATTTAATGATACAATTTTGCATTTGGGGCATGATACACCCATTCAGGGCACCATAAAGGGCTAATGAACTTTTGTATATATGATTTAATCCTATCGTCACAGATCAAAGGCCATGTCTTCGCGTTTCTTGACTTGCATTCAAAATGTTATTGAACTACTATTTTATCAATTTATGTGAATAAGTTTGGTATCAAAATGTAGATTATAATTCAAATTGTAGCGTTATACATTGTTTAATATCTTAATTTAAAAGTAAATATAAAAAAAAAACACCTAAACATCGATTTTTGTGTGTCGTGTGGTATGTTGAATGCAGCACTGGTTCAAATTCGATGTTTGTGATGTCAAAATACAAAGTCTATAGTTTTGTTCAAATTAGGAAATCAAATTACAACAGATATTGACAAACTAGAATATAAAATAAGAACCTCCTGTCTTTTCTATTTGTCAAGATATTGCTCATGTACTGAATCAAACACAGTGCCCCCGCCCCTCACCTTTTTCATTTTTGGAAATGCTCCCTTTTATGCACTTCTGTCTATGACATGTGAATAACCAAACGAAAGTTCAGAATGTTCCCCTAGTGGCTTTCTCAGCCATTTTAGAGTATTATGATATCATTCTTTTGATACAAATCTTCAAGCTGGTGAGTCTTTAGTCTGCTCGAAAATTTCATATTTTTTAGACCCAAATACATCTTAGTTACTAAGCTTGATAAATTATAGTGGAATTCTATGGTATTGATGTAGTAATTTATGATTTTTTGGTTATTTAAAATGTAATCTAAAAAAATTATTTCGTTTCACATCATCCACGTGCAAAACTTTATAAGGCTTAGCAACCTACGACAAGCAGCAAATGAGTACAAAGGTCATAACTAGAAGAGATAATTAATTATTTATTTACTATTCTATGCTTTAAGGAAAATAAGTAAGAACTTATTTGTAAGTAGTAATAATGTATATATACATATATTAAGTATAATAATTGAAATGTGACTATTTTACAAAATACTAGTCCACTGAAATACAGCTAAGACCGGGCAGATTTATATTCTTGGATATGGTAACGTGAGTGCACGTGCCCCACATCATTGCAACTTCTGTAGTGTCAACATTCTACATTTATATATATATATAT